ATGGGATGGCGCCGAGTCTTGCTGGAAAACCCAATACTTGTTATGGAATAGGGTATTAGACAGGGGTTTCACAACAGTCTCTAGAATGTCACTTTGATAATTTTTGGCTTTCACCTTGACGCCTTGTTGGCAGAAATGAAGCTGAGTGACACCTTCGTACGAAACTCCCCACCATACCATGACACTAGCCGGATGATGAGTACGCGAGACATTCCGTGCTGAAGGTGGGACATCCTTGCTACTTTTGGCATACACTTTATTGTTTTGTCGATTGAAATTTTCTTCGACGGTAAAGATTTTCTCGTCGGTGAAGAGTATCTTCCTCGCATCGTGTCTCCTAAGCAGTATTGGACAACGTTCGCGTCGCAATTGACGAAGGCGATCGTTTAAAAAGTGTACTTTTCTACGGCTATACGCCTTAACCTTAAGATCATATTTCAGTATTCTGTTAACTGAAACGCGCGAAATATTGGGTCTGCAGAGCGAGTTTCTTCTGAGTGCGACATGGATTTCGGCGAAGTCGCTCTCGGATGATTTTAATGTTCGCAGGCGTCCTCACAGAGCGTGGACGACCACTTCTTTGCCGATCATGTAAAGAACTTGTCTCCTGGTATCGTTTAATAGTGTAATACACGAAGTTACGGCTCACACCAAAACTTTTCAGTTCTCGGAAAATGTCCATAGGTTTTCTTCCCACCTTAAATAATGAAATGACGGTCGCACGTAATTCTTTTGTTCCCTCCATTACGAGAAAATTTAAATAAAATAATCCGAAATCATAGATATTAAAAGTTAACATTCCAAATTCAAAATTAGAAAAAGAAATATACAGCAGCCAGTAATTTTTATTTTATTTTTATAAGCAAAAAGTTTGTCTCAAAACTTATGAACACACGAGGTATAATCTCCCGCCTAGGGTGAGGCGAGAAGGAGTGTCAGACTCTTACTGACTTAAAACCTCATTCCTACTCCTGCTCTTCGAGTCGGAGCCCTAGCATCTGTTAATTTTTCCAAGGCTCCATTACATTATTATTATTATTGTTTTTACTTTATTTTAGTTTAATTCAATTTCAATTTTACATACATTTTTATTTTTCAATGACATTTATCATTTGTTTTTTTAATTGAAATCTGATTGTATAATAATTGTAATTGTAATTGATGATGTTACTAACCATTTATGAGCTCTGAGCCTGAAATAAAGATTCTATTTCGGGTATCATCTCTACTCGGCCCTACTTTGGTGGTCTGATGGGTCTTTGAGTCCCCTCTTTGAGGACTGGCTTGAAAGACGTAGCGGCTTCCTCACATACCACCTGACGAGCGCGCGTCTCAAAGAGCCATCAGACCACCACGGATGGGGTCCAATAGGGCTGATGCCGACACGGAGCCGCGGAGAACTTAACGGGTTCCCGGGGCTCCGCCTCCAAGGGCAGGAGTAGCAACGATCTAAACTAATGTACAGCCCGACCAGAAATATAATAAAAGAAGTCAGAAGGTCGCTTTCGTGTTTTAACTGTCAATCTTCTATCAAAATGTATGACGAAAATTAGTTTGAATAATTCTGCAATATGGCGAGGTTTTTATTTTTTCCGGTCAGGCTTTATTTCTAAAATTTATTTTATAGGTTAACGAAAACATAAATGTTTTTTATGTTGTCAATGATTTTTTAAAGATTTATTACAAAGGTTAAAAAGTGCACTGTTCACAATAGTAGTATATGATCTAAACTATTGTCTACTGTCTCGAAAGTTCAGGTCCTCTTTAAATTTGGTTGCAAAGATTAAATTTGTTTGTTTTGAAAGGTAAGGAAGTTCTTATTCCAAGGATTCCGATGATCCCAACGAATATGCCCTTTGAATTTAAACGAATTCAATTCCCGATTCGTCTTGCCTTCGCCATGACGATCAACAAATCACAGGGCCTATCATTGACTATTTGTGGCTTCAATTTGAAATTTTTTCTCGTGGTCAATTGTTATTGAAGTACCTACTTACTTAATCTTTATTTGTATTCTCTTTCTGTATGTATTGTTCATAATAATAAAATACTTTTATATATGTATCAATGTTCATATATATATTGTATCATTGCCGTATATGTATCATACGTTCATCAAAGCCTAAATTAGTTCAGCTAAAAGGTAACACGACATTAATTGACTGTTAGGCGGTACGAAGTTCGCCGGGTCAGCTAATAATCGATAAACAAATGACTACACATAACATAACATAACATCACGCCTTTTATCCCCGAAAGGGTAGGCAGAGGTGCACATTATACCACTGTACAATGTAACACCCACTTTTCACTATTTATGTTATGAGTCCCATGTAATAGGGGGTGAGCCTATTGCTATATATACCGGGCACAATTCCAGACTCCGTGCTACTATTGAGAATATTTAAAAACCCAGTAATACTTTGCCCGACCCGGGAATCGAACCCGAGACCCATTGCCCGGCAGTCGCACTTACGACCACTTGGCCAAAGAGGCAGTCAACACAAGACTAGTTTTGGAAAAAAAACATCGTTTAAAATAAAATTAGAATTCTTACGCCCGAATACTGAAAGGCTACTTAAGTACTTAATTTTAGTACTTAAATATCGTGACATCTCTGTCATTTTACAAAGAATTTATAGTGACAGAACAATACACGCGACTTAAAATTGAGTGACGTTTGGGTATATCGACATTAGACAAACAAAAATTATTTTGATTTGTAATGGCCAGTACTGCCGTACAGCAATTTAATAAGTAAAGACCTAATATATAAGGATTTTCTCCTGTGTCGTGGGTGCGTTTACAAACATACAAGTTCATATACACGACACCCAGACCCGGAACAACTATCTATGGATCACACAGGGTGGTTCCGTGTGGGAATCGAACCCGTGACACGTTGCGCGGTAGCCAGTTGCTTAACCACAGCGCCAACCGTGCGATCAAAATCAGTCAAGTTTTATGGAGGGGTAATTTTTTGTGGCTTCAACGGTTTTGCATACATTTTGTACTCCATACCACATCTCCTTTTTAATATATCTATGTGTTTCAACAAACTTGTCCTTGAGTCTTGATGACATTTTATTGATTTTAATATGGAGTTGTGTTTACGACTCTTTTAATTGAAAATTATACCTTTATTTTATTCATACACATTATTATTACACACATTTCATAGGTAAGTACAATAAATACTTAGTAGTTAGTAGTATTAGGTGCGATAAATATGTATATGTCGTAGGATAATTTGATATTTCGAATCTTCGCGGAAATCCTAGGGGTTTTGCGAAAACGCGGATAATTAGACATAGGCGAAAAATTATCAAATCTTACTGGACAAAGTCAGGATTTTTGCGAAAATACTCGTTACTATAGTAAGATTGCGAAACGAAACGCTGGCTGTTATGAAATAAGAACGCTGGTTGGTCGGTCAGCGCGTTCAATAAGAGATCGTCTCTGATTGGTTGACGTCTTAAATGTTTTTTCGTCGTCTTAAACGACCAGTTTCATCCAATTTATGGATTACACCCGAAAATTGGATCATTTTTTTTTTACAACGACTGAGATCTCCTATTGTCAGTAGAAAACAACATACATACTAAAATTTTCAATAAAAGGTTTATAAAAATCAATTTTTCTTTCTCACCTAAACTAGGAACCAATTAGAAGCCAGCCACCAAAATTGTAGCCAATCAGTGTTGAGCACATCAAATCTTACTATAGTAACGAGTATTTTCGCAAAAATCCTGACTTTGTCCAGTAAGATTTGATAATTTTTCGCCTATGTCTAATTATCCGCGTTTTCGCAAAACCTCTAGGATTTCCGCGAAGATTCGAAATATCAAATTATCCTACGACATATACACTTACATTCATAAGTATAAGAGCACTTCATTTTTTAACAATACAAAATTATTTCGACTCTGTACGCTCTAAACAACTTTTTTTTTACACTGTTTAACGATTAAAACACTTACACGACAAGAAAACATTTTATAAGATTTTGGTGAAATTTGTGTTATAGAACTTAATTTAGGATAAAATTTGTTATTGTACTACCTTGGTCCATTGTTAGACTAATATTATTAGAATTAGTCAAGGTATGCTGATGTTTTATACCTCATTGGAAAGCTTAGGAAATGTAGATTTTTTTATAAAAAATGCACAAAAAGTGTCATAATATTTTTTTTTTTGTAACAGTAAAGCATATTCCGGAGACATATTTAAAAAAAAATCCTACTACTTTTTTATATACCTACAGCTGAAGAGTTTGTTTGTTTGAAAACACTAATCTTCGCAACTACTGATTCGAATAGAATAATAATTATTTCTGTACTTCACATCATTTGTCTATAAGTACCCACTGCTGAGCAAAGCCTCTTCTCACAAAGAGAAGGTTTTAGCATTAATCACCACGTTTGCTCATTGCAGGTTGGCTATTTCAGATTTTTTATTCTATATTATAAGTCCAAGTTTCCTCACGACGTTTGTCTTCACTGTTTGTCAGTGGTATCTAAATAATCTTAAAATATACATATAACTTGGACAAAGTTACATTGCGGTCTGCGATTAATAGGAGACGAGCAGAGCGGGCGGAATCGCGCTTGAATAGGTTACAAGTAATTAATATTCTTGGATCAGAAATAGTTTTAGCTATTTCTGATTTACGTCTCTAGAGGTATATTGTTTGAAAATACTTGGTAGAAATATTTATCTTTATGTTGAGTATTTGTGCTCTACAACTGCAATATGATAAATGATATGCAAGTATACATGTTCAGTATATTCCGAAACATTGTTGTTAATTACAGTACTTACCTACATTATTTAAGTAATGTAAAGGTTTGTGAAAGTGAATTCATAAAATAAAAATTTTGCAAATAAGAATGTAAGTGTTGATTCACTATAAGCTCTTAAACCAGATTCAGGTAGCATGGATGTTAAATTAAATTTATCTAAACTAGAACCAAATCAGAATATTTTTTTTGTTTTAACAGGCAAAAGACTACAAGAATGGGTCTGTGTGGTGGTATGTTGCACGTTGTGTGTCTGTGCTGGTGTTCTCATGGCCAGACATATACAAGCGGATGCCTCATTATTATTAGCAGCAATTTCTGGTGTTCTAACAGCAGATTTTGCTTCAGGCGTAGTGCATTGGGCTGCAGACACTTGGGGAGCAGTTGATCTACCTGTTATAGGCAAAGTAATAATTGTCTTTACAAGATCCTTTAGTGATTGTTTGATTCATTTGTACTATACCTGCAAACATATTTCCATTTGCTTGCCTTCGTCATTCATTACAGACTATTTCTCAATTGATCCATTCTTTGATAGATAAGATATTTGGTAGTAGGGCTGAAATTCAAATTTTCCTCATAAAACCCATATAGTCCATGCACATCTGTATTAGACAAAAGAGGTTCATAGAAGCATGTGTGCACAACATACATTTTTCCATATAAATTCAAACTGTTTAAATAATTAATAATGGTTCCTGTATAAAACATCTATACCTATATTGTACGTACCTACACCTATTTATAATTATCATGTCTCAGACAAAGGCATCCCCACCAACCACAGCCCATACATATTAACATAATAGGACTTGCATGTTTAGTTATTAAAATGTATAGTATCATTTATGTATCCTCAATATCACAACCTTTTGACCGCCACGTTAAAAAAGCAAAGACGTGCCATGCAGTGCTGTCAGCGTTAAGCTAAGATTTATCTCACGACTAAGACACTGGCGGTTAAAAGGTTAACTATAATGTCTAGTATACTTAGCTTCTATACATAATTTGTGCTACCTATATAAAGTGTCACAGGTTTCAATTTCGCAACTGTAAATGTTCGCAATTCGCAATTCTAAATACCTTGTTAACACGTTAACCGCCGCGTAGGTCACCGGTGACCTACGTTAGCGGAGGATTTGCCTTCAGCAGTTTTCTGTCGACAGTCAAAGGCTTAATTGAAACTTGCGACGAGTTTCATAAAATGTATTTTTGCCAGGGCTCTGTTATCTTGGCTTTTGCACGTAAGTAGTTACTTCTATAATACCTAATCATCAATCACGCGTGTCACCATCACCACACATATTTTAATATTAACCTATTTATAAGTGTAAGGTTACAATTCGACGTTATTTTTTTACTGTTGAGCAGTTTCATAAGCAGAAATTACATACCTACAGTAACCTTAATGGAGGTGCGCGTCTTCGGCTAGGCTATTCTGCAACATTCAATACGAATTTTCGAAGTGAGGTTGATGACGGTTAGCCATGTCATTAGTTGTTAGAGTAATCTCGATCACTAACGGTCGGGAATGTGATCGAGGTCACTTCGAAAGTTAGAATTACAGAATAGTCTGGCAAATAGGTACCTACACTGTTTAACAAAACTAACTTTTTGGCAAATTTACAATAGACTATTCTCCTACTTTTTGATTTTTTATTAATGTTCGTAAATGTCTTATTATCAAATATAATTATTATTTCAGCAAAATATGACCGCTTTATGCCGAAAAATAAAATCAAAAATTTGTCGTAAAATATACGCGCCAAAACACGGACCACCATTTTGGTGACATCAATAGCACGAAAATATTGAAACGTCAAACGGCCAAGTCTTACATTTTGTAAACAATTTGATTGCGTTGTGATTTTATTGTATTTATAATATAAAGATGAGTTTCAATAACCCGTATCGTTGGTGTGTTACATTAAATTGCAAGAATTCTACACAAAAATTTCATTTATTAAACAGAAAAAGTAGTTAAAATTTGACTTGACAAGAATGCTATTGTTTAATATAAAATATTTTGATGCGCTTCCGACGTCACTCTCAAGAAAATGATGGCGGACAGCGTTTTTGGTCACGTGACATACAGATAATAAACCTTTGATTTTAACTTTGAAATCTAAATTTAATCCTATCTTTTTATGGAACAACAACATTTTTTTAATTGTTGACTGCACGGTTGATGCGGTGGCTGGGCAACCGGCTGCCGTGCAACGTGTCGCGGGTTCGATTCCCGCACGGGACAACACTTTGTGTGATCCACAAATTGTTGTTTCGGGTCTGGGTGTCATTGTGTTATGTGAACTTGTATGTTTGTAAACGCACCCACGACACAGGAGAAAATCCTAGTGTGGGGCAACGTTTTTTTAAAAAAAAAATCCTCACCTTTTAAACTATACAAATAACATAACGTTATAATTTATTGTTGATAGATGAGAATACCCTATTAAGTGACTTGTTAACGCGAACTAGAAACTAATCCGACTTCGTGTCCCCACCACTTCGCGGTTTATCGTCTTCCTGTCTTTTATTGTTCGGACAAAACCGCATATCAATCGGGCATCAATACAAGTTTCCTGAACCGGCCGGGTGAGCCGGGCCGGCTCGATCGGAGTGATAAAACGACCTCACCATACAACCGACATGAAACAACACTTGCGTTGTGTTTCGTCGTGTGAGTGAGGTTACCGGCGAATATCCCCAATCAGTCAGTTACCTACGTACCTATTTTTTTATTTTCTCGTCGTAGTCACAATACTTATATAGATAAAATGGAGTTAAGTTTAAGGAGGCCATACACGCTAGGTTTTGCATGATGGTTTTAGCCGTGCATGCTTAACCGACAGGCAAGCCCTAGCGTGTATGTGATCAAACTGTACAGTTATCGGTGCATCGGTGCTCGGTTATGCTTGTCAGTTTTGCATTTGCCACATTGCCACCTTTAGGAGCGGGAGGTCGTTACGTCACTAAGTGCTACAAAATGTAGCGCGTCGACGCGCGACGTCACACGATATTTCAGATTATTATATCGCCGAAAGTATTTAATTTTGTGAGAAAAGAAAAAATACGTGTCTAATGTTTTAAATTAATCTACCAGACTGACGATAAAATAAAATTTAGGCCTACTACCCTATTGATGCATTTAACAAGTATCACATTATTCGAAACTTGCTTCTGCCATCAGCTTAATTCTATACGCTAATAAGTAAACCATTAACTAATAAGTAGCCTATGTATTACTTCAGACCATAATCTATCTCTATTCCAAATTTCATCCTGGTCCCTTCAGCCATTTTGATGTGATTGAGTATCAAACATCCACACAAAATCACATATTTTCACATTTATAATATCGGTTCAAGCTAATTCCAACAATCGGCTCTACATATACAGCGTAAAGTCCACTGCAGGCCAGCTAACATTCGTCAAACTTATATATGCGTTTTTGTAACATCACGCCTTTTATCCCCAAAGGAGTAAGTAGGGGTGTACATTACGGCACTTAATGCCACTGTATAATGTAACACCCATTCTTCATTATTTATGTTATAAGTCCCATGTAGTAGGGGGTGAGCCTATTGCTATACATATACCGAGCATATTTTTAGACTCCGTGCTACTACTGAAAGTTTCGTGATTGAGCCGCACAATTAAGTTTGTTTTTTCGTGTATATACTTTTTCGGTATAAAACGTACCCAATGTTGCCCAGGATATTAAAGTATAAACATGCTTACTAAGTACTTTGTTTAATATTTTCAATGTACAGAATTTACACTCCTACAGTTTTAATATAATATGTATATTGTATAGATACTAAATGTATGATAAATACCTACAATCTATATAACCAATAAAATATGAAAAAACAAGTGCAGGTAAATTCTACTTCTCACGTTTTTATTTTATCGCTATCTTATCAAATACATACATGTATTGATCACCGTTTAATCAGTCTATTTAATCTGAGTACATTATGTGTGTACCTAAATTGTAGGTTTCCCAAGTATCGACGCACTACTATCGCCACTTTCTTTCTTAGTTACAATAGCAAAGTTCTGTATTTTCCATTCGGTAGATCAAACTGTTAGGTACCAGAGGGAGAAACTCAAGGTTTTAAAGAAACATCTTTACCATACCAACCACGGAAATCAATATTTAACTCTAAATCAATTCTGGTGACATTTGCTACAACCGTAGAATATACCTTGGAAAAGACCAATTCACAAATCCAATTTCTGCCAAAGGTCGTTATTTCAGGCGGAAATACCTACTTATTTTTAGGAGTAACAATCATTTTTTAGCACCTTGAGAGCAGCAATGAGTTTATGAATGTGTGATGAATCTTCGAAGTTCTATTACTTCTGCATCTTGAATCCTACAACTTTCACGTCATATTAACGGAAAATCTAGTAATTTGGCGGACCTTCTTACTCTTCCTACTTTTTTGTAATGATACTTACAATATTTTGTTGACACCTTCATTCGTATTATGGTGTAGCGTGGCATGGTATGAAAAGGCAGGTAAATCTGAATACCCAACAATCCTTAAAATTCCTAACCCCAAAAGGCCGGTAACGCACTTGTAACGCCTCTGATGTTCCAAGTGTCCATGGGCGACGCCGATTGCGTACCATCCGATCCGTCCGTAATCCGTCCGATCGTTTACCGGTTTATCCCATAAAAAAATCAACAATTGTGGCTCCTGGCTACTATACTTTTTTTTTAAAGGGAAAAATCATCGAATCCCTTCCCGCCTGTGTGAGCCGAGTGTCAGACTCTTACTGACTAAAAACCTCCGCGGCTCCGTATCGGCGTCAACCCTATTGGGTCCCATCCGTAGCGTTCTGATGGCTCTTTGAGGCGCGCGCGGAACGAGACGCGCCGTACGCTTAGGTCTGGTTCTAGTCGGACGGGGAACCACCCATGCTCGCCGTCCGCAGGCCCGCGCTTACGGTGGCCGGAGATCGTCCCGCGATCCCCGACGCCCGGAGTGTTCTTCGCGAAGGCTGGGTTGCGAGGAGGCAGCGCTTCGCTGCCTCACGCGTCCCGCCTCCTCCTTAGCTAGCATGACTGTTACGCAAAAGGAGAAAACTGCATCCCAGTCCCCCTCGCTCCGCATCATGACCCACACTAGGTCCGGTTGCGAGAGGTCTCCATCACGTCCCCGACCCCGAGGGCACGGCGGTGCTTAGCCCACGCCGGGCATTTCCCCCACTGTGTGTTCCACCGTGTTCTCAGGGCGGTCCTCGCAGTGATAACAGCCGGGCGTTTCCTCCCGCCTCATCAGACACAGGTTCCTCCCGAAACTTGATGTCAATTTACCTCATTTTTTATGTCACTAAACCAATTTGAATTAAGTTGGTACAACGATAGTTGGGAGACATGGAAAAGGACACTATGATAGTTTTTATCCCGGAAATCACACTTTTAAAGGTAACAAAACGGTGGCAAAAACGGTACTTGACAACTAGTCAAATTCATATGAATTATCTATTGAAATCGCAACGTACCTATGTTAATTATCTAGAAAAAATAAAAAAGTAGTAGGTAGATATAGCAATAACAAAATAATGAATTATAGTAAAAATTAATTATTTAGTTTTTGTTTTATTATATTGGAGTTGAAATACATAATTTACTTTTGACTAAGGAAGCTGTACCCAATTATTAATGATCTGAAATAATTTGAATATTCTAAACTTAGTTATTTATTAATATAATTTCATGTTGCAATTTATAACAAGAATTTTATTTACCTGTTACAGAATTTCTTACGCCCATTTCGTGAACATCACATCGATCCTACATCAATAACTCGTCATGATTTTATCGAGACCAACGGTGATAATTTCGCTATAACTATACCGGTCTTAGCAAGAATTGTATGGCAACTTCTCACGTACGACGATGAAAATATTAATGCCCAATTTCACTGGATTGCATATTGGTACTTATGCTGTATCTTTGTTGCAATGACTAATCAGGTATGTAATAATTATTAAATATTTACTGAATAGTTTTTTTTATTACATAAGAAAGATTTTTTTTAACAATGAGTTTAACAATATACCTACTAAACATTATATTTTCAGATACATAAATGGTCTCATACATATTTTGGACTACCAATGTGGGTAGTTTGGTTACAAGAATGGCACATAGTATTGCCACGTCGTCATCATCGCATACATCACGTAGCGCCGCACGAGACTTACTTTTGCATCACAACGGGCTGGCTTAATTGGCCTTTAGAAATGCTTCATTTCTGGTCTACACTAGAGACTATAATCGAAGCAGTCACTGGTTGTAAACCACGAGCTGACGATATGAAATGGGCACAGAAAAGGTCCTAGAATAATAATATTATCAACCTATTCCTGAGAGGTATAATTTTTTTATACACGTAAAACACTCGTCCACATCTACTGAATCAATTAATAATAATAGGTTTAATATTTTGCTAAGATAAAAGCGATAACATATTAATATATAATAATAATAATAAAGTGCTTATTTTTAAGATTGCTAGTACCTATGTATGATAGTAGTCGAATCTGTCTTTAAAGCCAAGAGCAATAAAGTGGACATATCTCAATGATGAGTTAGTCCATTTGATGTTATTACGGCCTGAATGTAACTTTGACAACGCAGTGCCTTATTATTACAATCCGTTCGTAAACATAACGTCAGACCAGTAGGAATTGAATTCGCGGTCGCGGAGGATACAGGTACAGAATCTGTTACAATATCGACTCTAGATATTACTTACACATCATTTGGTCATAGCTCTAACAATAGATAGTACCTACCATTAAATAAGCCGGCAGTATTGACAGTTTTAATATGTTTAAAAAATATATGTTTTATTCGTAGATATTAACCAAAATTCATACTATTAGAAACAAATAATTGGCTTAGGAAATGACCTATGTTTATCTCTGGTTCTTGCAGTCGTAAAGCGTAATAAAAACTACATAGTATGGATTGTGCCAATGTCATGTAAATCTGGTTAAACTGGCCTGCTAGTAGAGTGATGTAACTAAACATTAATTGTAAATTGTACATAATAAATGCATCTATGTAGGCACTAAGTGTAGATAATTTTTATTATGACATGGTTAGAGCTATGATCAGTTTTTTGTGACGCCAAAATAAAAATCCTTTTTGTAATGAATATCTAATTGTGGCCTGGTTTACTAAATGTTATATAAACTAGTATTTGATTTTAACAAATAGATAGCACTAGTTTACAGTAAATCTGTTGCCGGAATTATGTTAGCTGTTGTTGACTACCTACTTATGTTATAGCATATTTGTACTAAATCTACTAGTAGTTTTTAACAGCTAGTTTTAAGTTTTATCTATCTACGCATGTACTTGGCAAATAACCTATATTTATAATTATCTATTTGCACATAATATGTATTAGTATTATTTTATTAGTATTATTTTATTACTTAGGAAAATGCCGTATCGATGACCAGCAGTAGTCAGAAACCATATTTGTATTCGAGAAATCCTAATAGCGTTCTTTTATTACGAAGAAAACCTCTATCTATGAGGGATTGATGAGGTTGATTGATACTTGTAGTGCGTTCCATAATATTTTAATTTTAAATTAGGATCTTGTTGATTGTTAAACTGTCTATAGTCAATAGATTCATCACAGATGTAGCAAAAATGATTTGGATTCTTTAAACTACGTATCCTTGACCTACTCATATTGCCAAAACTTCAGATATTTATGCAAACACAGTAAAGTACCTATACTCAAGTCCATAGCAAAAAAACATAAGCTGCACAAAAATATTTGAGAGTACATTTACAATAAACTTAACAAGTCAATGATACCAAACCGTAACAGGAATCCACGGCAACTGACAAAAAGATAGATTTCGTAAACTAGTAATTCAGTAGATAGTTCAATTAGGTACCTAGGTAACCATCGAGGCCATCACAGAACTAGCTATAATATATATTAATACTAGCTTTTACCCGCAGCTTCGCTCGCTTCACTAAAGGATAAAAAGTAGACAATATATACCAATACGCACAGCGCCATCTATACCAATGCTTTTGTTTTCCCTCGGGAATATTAAATTTTGCCGGGTTAAAAAGTACCCTATTATTTAATCCGGACTTCTAACTTTAGGTCTGCAAAATTTCAAAGCAATCAGTTTAGTAGTTATGGCGTGAAAACGGAACAAACAAACAAACTCACTTTCTGATTTATAATATTAGTAAGGTTATTTATAGCAGGGTTTATATAATATATTAATGTATATATTATTATCACAGATTTTCAATACAAAGTTTTACGTGACCACACACCTAGTTGTAATAGCCGTGAAATCTATTTCGTTTTCGTCTCAAAGTAAAATGTAATTTAATGTGTAAAATATTTTTTTAAACATATAACTGTTGCAAAAAGCGAACTCATAGTATATTATCAAAACGTCACGCCATACGTAATTCTTGAAGTAATATTTCTCGTCGGGTGGCACGTGCGATGCGAATAGTGTCTACAAATTGACGTCTACCAGACAGCATTAAGTACGACAATAAATCTAAGTGTTTCATGTGCGTATTTACATGTTTTTTTAAACTAAAACAAATATTATATTTTTATTTTATTGTTTTCACTTTATACATTGAAAGTGGTCCTTATGGCAAGTTGTTTTGCCGCGGGGGAAAATGTAATCAACAATGCATATTAGTGTAAGGTGTAACTATTTACGCCATATCAAATGTGGACTAAATGGCTTCTTCTTGTTTTGGATACATTTAATTTTGTTCTGAGTTGTTATGCGTTATCATATAACAATTAATAAAGTAAATAAATGAACATACATTTACTCAAATAAAATCCGAAATATTTCCATTTCATATCCGGTTCATTGTGAACCAACCTCCATGTTCGTGTTACAATTTTCCACCTCCAAGACTTATGCCCGAATACTGAAACGTTACTCAATTTTAAGTCGCGCTTAAGTATAGTTCTATCAATTTAAGTCGCGCTTAAGTATAGTTCTATCTCTACAAATTCTTTGTAAAATGACAGAGACAGCATGATATTTAAGCACGTCTTAAAATTGAGTAACGTTTCAGTATTCCAGCATTAGCTTTACTGGGAGTTTAATACAATTATATAATAGTCACAATTTCCTATAATTTAGTTGTGTCAAGACTGCTTTTTGTAAAAAAATTTGGCGCCAGAGCACCGCGATGTGAAGTGGTGTAAAATGAATTGTATTTGTAAATAACATTTTTGGAGGGGTTAGTGGTATCTATGTCCTGCTTAATTGGACTGACATCGTTTCAGATGAATGCCAAAAGAAAAGTCACAATTGTTAAACGAATATTTTGAATAGGTATACATTTTTTTTTCGATATTGTCAAGACAGTCACTGGTAAGGAGCAAGTATTAGCATTTGGAAAGTGTCCGATAATAAACGACAAATCAATAAATAGTATCATAACAAAAATAATCAAAACCAAATAAATCATTATAAAACTTAATTAATCACCATTACTACCACTACCAATATAAAACTACGCTTCGCCTTTTCTATACCTTAATTAAATGAAAAAAATATATTTTATATTATAGCTCAGTCTGTGATAGCTAGCTATAATATGATATACTTACATTAATGTATAATAATATTATAGTTAGGTTTGTGACGGTCCACATTTATATATTATTATTTAAATTCAAAAATAACTAATTATGTACCTACGAGATTCATATTTGTACTGTTGAACGTACTAATGCATTTATTTACTATCTACCTGGCCACATCTAAATGTGTTAAATTAGGTAATATTGTGATAATAATAATTTCTGTTAAAGTGCATAGGATTCTTCCTATGTATTTTCTAATGTTCTCATTAACTTACCTAGGTATTTGATAAAAATTTATACACTGCACAAGTTCACGTGGTACCTACCTAGCTTGACTTTTGACAATATATAGCTATTTTGATATTAATAATAAAGTGATGCCTATTTTAAATATAATATTTATTATATTTACATGCAATATACATGATTAGGAATTATAGATATTTTGCTCTCGACATACATTACAATACCGCCACAAAGGACAATGGGTAATGATGGGCCCACCTCACAATAGAAATAAGATACCCCTCTATAGATTTTATTCTTATGCAGAATAAAACTTTGTATTACTACTATGGTCAAAATTCAGTAGTTTTAGTGCCTATGTAGACCACAGTAGGTAATATCATTAACGGTCGGAAGCATTGTCAAATAAATAGTAGGTAAGGTAGTAGAATGTAACCCACTGCAAAGGGAGGAGAAAAATTAAACTTATCAACAAAATTTACACAAAATTTTTAGTTATTTATTTATAGTGATTTTTAGTTAAATTTACACAAAAATCAAAATACTGGTTTTTTGGTTTTTCATTTTTATCTTCCTCACCTTTTTGCGACTTTTGGTGACATACTTTTTTATGTTCCCAAAAAATACAATTTTCTTTTTGTGAAATATGTTAATTTTCATTCTTTTATTTTCCTAACATTGAAAAAATCTCATTTTCATATGAAAATTTAACGTAAAAATTTATAAAAAGAAATACAGACTGGCAAAGAATTCCACTCCTTGGCAGTACCTACGCACAAGGAAGCAATTTATTAAACTTTGCGGTTATATAAGGTGCTCTATAATTATCAGCCACGGCTTTAATGGGAGGTAGTGTTATGTTTACAGATTACAATTGTAAAGAAATTTCGTACCCCGGACCAGTTCTTTTGTTCTTCCGCTAATCCCGATAAACTGATTTTTTTCTACTAACGCTCACAATTTTTTACTAAACCTCAATTCGCTCGTGATTTATTTTTCTATATTGTTTGGGCATATTCTCTTTCTTTGCAATAGGTTTCATTCTATTACTACTTGGTGGTGTTTTAAACTTATTTGCACAAACTTAATAATTTGCTAAGAAAATGTTCTCGAGCTAAGGAAATTATGATCTTATACACTTAATTGTAAGACAAACATACTAAAACTCATTGTTTACATTCGTCCTACTTAAACGAGTGCCTACGAAGAAGGCAGTTTAACTCGTCGACTACCGTCATTATAAACACAATTATAGAACAATAGGTTGCGGTCACCGGTGACCACTTGGTGTTTGACAGTTTAAATTGCCACCCATCCAAAGATTGACCTTGGCACATAGCTTAACCTAGGGGATCGACTCGTTGGCGTATTATTATTCAGTAATGAGCTCCTCTAGATCCAAGTAGAACATCTATAACGATAATATAAAAATCTTGTATAATATGCTTAAAGAATACCTTGGATTGAAATGACTTCAGGAAG